CAGTGGCTGGGAGCAATAGCCAACCTGCTATGGGATATTTTAAATTGCAATAGCCAATAGCAGGCTGCCTCTTGTACCCGCCCACTGCCTGCTGTCAATCCGCAAAGGAGGGAACTGAAGACGAAGTTCTCAATCAGGTCCTCTCTGCTGATTGACAGCAGGCAATGGGGGGGGGGGTACAATAGCCAGCCTGGTATTGGCTATTGCAATTTAAAATATCCAATAGCAGGCTGTCTATTGTTACAAGTGTCCATTCCTTTTCCACATGATGAAACTGTTTGCTTTTGGTGGTATATCTCAGTGTAAGATCCTTATGTTCCTTATGTGTTTAATAATGCTCTCACCAGACCCACACAGAAGTTTTCCCTCTCAATGTAAGAAGAGAATGTCCGTTCTGTGTGAAGGAAAGATTTACAGCTTCTCTCCCCCGTGAGCACACTGAACTGACATTCGCTTCTTACAATGAGAGTGAAAACTGCTGTGCAGCAAGGAGCACGGGCATCTCACACTGAGATATATCACCAAAAGCAAACGGTTTTACCAAGTTGAAAAGGACGGGACACGGAGGAGCAGCAGCAGCTAAGGTACAGGGGGGAGGGGGGCAGCGGGGGATTTCACAGCTGCAGTCTCTTCTGCCTTCTCGTGCTGGCTACAGCGGTCTGTGAAAGGGACACCGAGCTCTGCAGCCTGCACCAGCAGGGAGAAGAGACTGTCCACACAACACTTACCCCGCCATGCTGTCACACTTCCGGAGAGGTCAGAGCGGAGAGGGAGCCTCGTTTGGTGGAGAGGTATTCCGGGGGAGGGGCTATGGGGGTCAATGGCCTAAGCTAGTTAAAAAAATTTAAACGGCCGGTATCTGATCTATGCATCGGGGCATTTTCAGGAGTACAAGTACTCCTGAAAATGCCCTGTATCGGCCCCGATAGCGGTACTAGCATCGGTATTGGGACATCCCTAGTTCGGGGGGTATTTTACAAACTCTGAAAGCTGTAAACAGTAAAACACTGAAAACAGTGAAACATTGCACAAATGGCCTGGCCAGCTGAGGTCAAACATAGAACGCAGGGTCTGGCAGTAAAAAAAAGTTAAAGCATATCAAAAAATATAATGTATTGCAGCCATTTAATAGTCCATAGATGTGGTGGCTGCCTTCGTTTTCTTTTTTTTGGACCTTTTTCCTTTATTCTTTGTTTAGAAACCCTGCAAATACTCTTCCTTTTTCTGGGTGGCTATGTGCACTCACTCCACTGTATCTATGGTGGGAACCAGGGACGTGCAGGCAGGGGAGGCAGAGCCTCACCTAGTATTATGAAGAAAAAAAGGTGTCAGCTTCAAGTCTGAAGCTGACAGCTTTTTCGCCATTCAGAGCAGCTTGTTACAGGTTACATAGCAGGGAAAGCCTCCCCGCTGTGTAACCTGTCATGGACGGAGTGCTGCCTGTTAATTACAGGCGACGCTGTATCCTACTTTTGACAGGTAGTTAGGTTGCACAGCAGTGGGCTTCCCCACTGTTTGTGTAACCTAACTTGGTGAGGCAAGAGCTGTCACTGCCTCTACTCTGTGTTAGAGGTGTGAGCTCTGTGGATGGTTTGGACCAATGGCAAAGCCATCCACCTTACCAACCATTCAGTGTCTGCCACCCCTGTCTGCCAATCTCTCCACTAGCTCCCACTTGCTCAATGAATAAAATTTTAAATACTAACGACAACATGCAAAAACTACAACGCTGCCCCCAGCTTCATCATCAACCTCATCTCAAAATATCACCCAAACCGCCCTCTCAAGACCTCCTGCTCTCTAGCTCCCTCTTGACCTCCTCCCATGCTCACACCCAGGACTTCTCCAGAGCATCTTCCATCCCCTCAAACCCCCTACTCTAATCTGTAAGTTAATTTCCAACTCTGTCCACCTTTAGGCAATTGAAAACTCATCTCTTCAAGGAAGCCTATCCCACCTCAACATAATAACTGCCATTTTACTTCTTCCATTAGCTCATCCCTCACAATGATATCCTTTTGTATCACTTACCCCTTCTACTAGATTGTAAGCTCTCATGGGTAGGGCCCTCCTGTATTAAAATTGTATTGTTACTTTACTGTCTCCCTCCATTTTGTAAAGCACTGCGTAAACTGTTGGCGCTGTATAAATCCTGTATTATAATAAATAGATATTTATCTGATTTTCACACAGATGGATAGTAGGAATTTATGAGGGTGGTCATATTAAAAGACCAAATATCGCAGAGTAATTATTCTTGTTTTTCACATAATGTATACTTAGACACTCCAAAAACACACACACACTTCACCCTGAAGTAAATAATGAATGGCCACATACAGAGATACCATTGCTACCTTCCATAGTAAAATGTCAAGTATAACAAAATTTTAACAAATTCAATAGATTTCATTCAGCATGCATAACTGCCTTATGTATAATGTAAGATGTGAAATGGTCTTTTCATAGAGCACATTAAAGTTTAAACATCTGAAGGCATTCGTTATACCGCTGCTTATGTCGTGCTGCTGCAGATCTCAGAAGGCTGACCTTTATGTGTGCCTGAATATTAAAGATTTAAATGCTCTGAGTCTGCTTTTTAGCAGAGGAGATCAATATCTGACATGCCATTGCTATACAGATAGCAGAATGAACAGAAGTCAGATATCATTACAGAGTAAAGATGCTGAAAGACACTGTTCTGGGTCACTATTGGGAGAGAGAGAGTCCATGACTTAATGAGAACATTCAAATAGTTGGAATGACCATGGCAGACCTGGAAATTCTTTTGTTCTCTACGTAGGCTGTACCACATCTTCTGATATACGTGTACGCTGTCCACACAACTTAACCATCTCTACATTATGGTTAAAGGAAACCTATACTAAAAGAAATCGGATAAGCATGACAGTCAGGCAACAAGCATCTCCATAAGAAAGATCAGCAATGGAGCCCTATGTACTTTTCTCACTATAGGTTTCTTTTAAATAGGAGAAAGAGGTTAATAATTGCATCATGATCATGGACCAAGAACAAACCACATACAATTTTTTTAAAAATCCAAACATTTTCTTTAAATCTAAATGTATATACAGTGTGTGTATATATACTGTAATATATATATATATAATCTTGGTTTATATAAAGAGCACAAAAGCATTTTTTGTTTATTATGTTAACAGATATTTCTGAGATCGAGTCCAATAGATTAGCCATAACATAATGACCACTGAGAATAACGCTGATTATCTTAATACAACGGCACCCGGAAGTGAGTGAGATATATTATTCAGCCAGTAAATAGGTTGTCCTTATAGTTGATGTGCTGAAAGCAGAAACAAATGGGCAGGTGTAAGGATTTAAGCGACTCTGACAAGGGCCAAATTGTTATGACTAGACGCAACTCCAAAACTGCAGCTCCTGTGGGATGTTCCCGGTCTGCAGTGGTCAGGACTTGCCAGAAAATGTCCAAAAAAGGAAAACTAGTGAACCGGCGACAGGATTCTTTACAGTTAGAGCTGTTAAAATGTGGAATAGACTCCCCCAGGAACTAGTTCTAGCTAGCTCGGTTAACCGTTATTTGTACAGAATACAGAGATTGTTGATCCAGGGAATATCCGATTGCCTTATGGGATCAGTAAGGAATTGTTTCCTCCTGTTGAAGAAAATTGAACTATGCCTAATAGGGGTTTTGGCTTCCTCTGGATCAATGGTGGGTAGCAGTGGGCATAGCATTCTGTTTTAGGTTTTTCTTCTTTTTTTTTTTCTCTCTTCTCTGTATAGGTTGAACTCGATGGACTTGTGTCATTTTTCCACCTGACTAACTATGTATCTATGTAACATGTAGGTAAGATACTGCAGTAATATCCGAAGGCTTATACGCAGCAGTCACTTTCTAGCAGGACAAAGGCTAGCACCATGCAAGCATTTTCGAATTTTGGAGATTGAAAAATGTTTGAGTCACTAAGCCCAGTTTCACCCACCCTATAGCCTTAGCCTAACAAGCTTTCCATTTATCTTTTCACCTCTAAAACAAGACAAAATCAAAGTCCCTTATATAAGCTGCTGGCTCCAGTTTTTATATTTTGCGTATATTTTTATATGACTTGTATGCTAAAAACTTTTCACTTGTCAGCGTGGCCGAACCATTTCCTACCCAGGGATTACTGAAGGCTAGATGTCAAGGCTAAAACTTAGACTGCAGACATGGAACAGGATATGGTCAGAGACGTCAGTCATGCTACAAGAAATGGTCAGAGACTGCAGATATGTTACAGGAGATGGTCATAGACGTCAGTCTTGCTACAAGAGATGGTCAGAGACTGCAGACATGCGATTAATCTATAGGAGTCGTTGGAGACTGGGGACATGCTTCATGATGGAAGACAGATTACTAGAAATCACTGCTATTACAGCTCTTTATAAATCAGTACTTTGTATACCCAACAGCCTCCTTAAAAATTACTTGTGTCACATTTTATATTTCTGTTGGCGAATTCCATTATAAAAGATCAGAGAAAAAAAGGGGAGAAGGGATGGACTGCAAAGAAATCAACCGAACCAGCAAGTCTAAACAATATTATTTATATTCACTGGCTTCAGTAAGCACATAGGTAAGGAAAAACAGACTATTGCCTGCAGGAGCAACAAGGGACAAACATCAAGTGTAAAAGGGCCACATGCAGCTCCTAGGCTGCAAGTTGGGCATCAGGGTACAAGAACCTCTATCATTATCCTTCAGCAGATCACATGACCATTGTTACTATCAAAACTGTGGGTACCACTCTGTTGTAGTCTTCTGATTGGGAACCTGCTCTCACCCCCTCCCCCTTTTTAAGGCTTGATTGGTGTTGATGACCATCTCTGCTGCCCACCCTTTAGTCAAATGATTATATGATCAGTTCATACTACATGTTTAACAGCTATATTTGCAACATCAAAACTGCTCTTGGAAAAGTAACACAAAGATAAATGCACACAGTCATAGCTTACTTCTACTCCTTGAGTTTAAAGTACATCAGTTTATTAAATGAACAGTGCCCTTTATCATTCAAATTGCAATGTCCGCTGAAGACTGCAGACTTGTACTTATAGTGCAAGGTTTCTCACAGTTTTGCAAACCCCTGAGGCTCCTTTAAATAGGTCATTTCTTCCACAGAGTTCCACCAAATACACACATTATATTACACTTTCATTTTCTTCATTGTGTAGTTAATTCCTTCACAAACACATGAATCCGTTCCATCAATATAAAGCTGAGTTCAGAATCATCCATGTGCTGATTGATCTTTGGCGATGGAAGGAGGCATATTCTGCCACTATGTTGTAAAGCTTACTTATTCTGTAAACGCGGGCTACTTATGAGTATTGCATACATGTGTAAGCTCACAGAACACTGCTTTGCCCTGTAATTGGAGGCTACATAAATTCACTTATCCATCCTGTGTTTGGTTGTCATGTTTTTTCTCACAAAATGGTTTCCCGAACAACTCCAATGACACTGTGAGGTCTGGCAGTCCTCTGGCTCCTTATTCTCCCATCCCTTTGCTTCTGTACAGTACTAAAAGTGCTTAGGTCCCCACAACTCTTCAAGTGAAGTACTCCTGGGTACCGTCTGCTTGGGAGTCTGGTAGTTGTTGGTAGGGATCCCTGGTTTGGGGCCATCACCTTAATAAAAAGGGAACAAAAGCAAATTACAGTCTAATGCTTCTGCGTACAATCACATTAAAGCAGTCAATGATGTAAACAATGAAATAGTGTTAGATAAACATATAGGGAGGCCACAATGTTCTTGGTTGTGGGTATCAACTGACATGTCAAAACCCGTTCCCTGGAAAGAGGTTACTATTGCCACTACGTTGCAATGTATTCAAAATCTTCCTTGACAAAAGAGAACTGCCTACTTGAGCATTGACTTCTACCGGTTCTAGTCAATAAAGCCATTGCCTGTTGATTCCTACATTTCATTGTCATGTGCCCCAATGTTTTTTTAATGATCAGTCTTCTTATGCCATTTCATTCATCTCTGAGTGTTGGCTGTGATTATGGAAGACATCATTTGCTACAACAATAACTCTATTAGGTTTTCCTTGTGATTGTGCTTTTGTAAGAACATCGTCACAAAGTACATATGTATTTAAATTGTAAGGCTACACTAGGGCAGAGGTAGACAAACTTTGACCCTACAGCTGTGGTGACTTCCCATCATGCATCTGCCTCTAGGAGTCACGCCAGTGGTTGTCAGAGCCTTGCAATGCCTAATGGAATTTGTAGTTTCACCACAGCTGGAGGGTCGAAGATTGCCTACCCCTGTACTAGGGTATAGTATTAACTATACTGAGAGATACGGAGCAAATATTGTGTATGTTTTGCTCTTTCCACACAAATAGTATCCCTTCAGTTTGAAATCAGGATAGGTATTTTACCGCTGTCTCTTATCTTTCTAATGTAATAAACAGTTTGGCATATATTTAACCAACCTGATCAAGGAAGTTGGCACTTAAAATGGCCTCGTCCATGTGTTCTTCATCAGACTTCAGCACAGTTTTGATGCTTTCTACCAGTTCCTGGATATCAGCAGACATATGACCAGATGGCTCTTCTAGGAACCTGGCCACTAGAAGTTTAGTATCAATGTAAGATTTATAATCCACTAGAGACCTTGGCCGTGATCGAACAGCTTTTGCTCTTAAAGCACGTCTTAATGTGACAGCTGCCATTGGTCGTCTTAGTTCCGTTTGTGTAGCAGCTTCACAGCTTGGAGTGGCTCCTAAATAAATCACACCGAAACTTAGTTCTTAATATCATTCTAGTATTAACATTCATCTTAAATTACTTTATATTAAGCATCCTTGGTTATAAATACTGTATAGCAGCCTCTTAACTAGTAGGATGCCTTGATATTCTTATACATAGCGTCATAATTTTCTATGGTGCATGCAGGCTGTCCACTAGCACCATGGAAACAAATGATGCTAATCCAGGTAGGATGGCATCCAATTAGAAAAAGACAGATGTTCAACTCCATTCAGACCTGCTCTGCTTTCCACCCTCTACCATGCTGCCACAGCTGCAGCTACTAGTGTAATGGTAGGGAGGTGTGAAGTTGGGGCTGAGAAATCTGATGTAAAGTGGAACTGAGGAATCTAATGTGAAGGGGAAACTTTGATGTAAAAGGGTAGACTCTGATACGAAAGGGTGGCTCCTGATATAAAGGGAAGGCTCTAATATGAATGAGGGGCTTCTGATGTGAAAGGGGGGCTCCTGATGTAAAGGGAAAACACTGATGTAAATAGTAGCTTCTGATGTGAAAGGGAGGCTTCTGATATAAAGAGGGCTCCTGATATGGAGGGGGGCTTGTAATGTGAAGGGGGCTCCTAGTATGAGAGAGTGACTTTTATGTGAAATGAGGGTCTCCTAATGTGAAGAGGGATTCTGATTGGAAAGGGGGATCTGATGTGAAGGAGGCTCTTAATGTGAAAGGGGGACTCTCATGTGAAGGGGGGAACCTCAGTTTTTGTGTGTGTTTTTTTTGCATGGGGTGCACTCTTAAAACACAAGGTATGGGCTTGGTATAGATTTTGGAGGGACCACAAGTCATTGTTTACATTTTTTTTTTACATTACATTTTTTACATTTTAAAATTAAGTGTCTCAAGATTTTCCATACTTTAAAAGGGTACCCTGACTGAAAAAAAGGTTTAGCAACACTGCTGTATAGGATGCTGGAAAAACATTTTAATTGGAAACCTATGGAGCAAAACATATGAAGACATTGCTAGTAGCAAAGTAGAATGACATTACCACTGCCAAGTACAGTATCATTATTCTTACTGCTGACTCACAGAAAAACTCCTCACAGGCCCTCCACTGGATGTTGAATGCTGTTTAGCGCTTCCAGCGGCTCTGTCATGTGACATGTGATGTGACTTCAAAAGTCAGTTGAATTCTTGCACATCATTCAGTGGTCAGCATGTGGCTTGTGAGAGGCTTATTTGCGTGCTTGGCAGTAAGTTAAAGCATAACTAAACTTCTCCTAAAGTTACCTCTGCTCCAACCATTGAGCCATCCTAGAGGTCCCTTGCTAGCACTGATACCTTCTCCAGGTCTGGGCTTTTTCCAGGTCCAGGATCTTCAGCTATCTTAATTGGCCAGCACAGTTGCACAAAACTCCTGTGCATGGGCGTTTAATCATGCTGGAACCTAGCAAATGCCAGGACTGTACACTGAGAACATGTGAAGCTCAGTGTGGGGTGTAAAGAAGATGGAAAGGAGGAAGATTATTTGCAGAAATATTAATATATATATATATATAAATATATCCTATAGAAATAGTTGCAATTAGACCGTATGGTCCCATCTGGTGGTTGCGAGATAGCGTGTGAGACTAAGGATCCAGCCATCTTTGTGAGCATGAAGTGGGTTTTGTATTGTTATTATTTGATATTTTCATTAAGAATATTGGTTATGGAGATTACTATACTTAAACCTATTTTGATACAATGTTTTAGAATACCTCCAACCTTCCTGATGAAGCACATACAGTTGCGAAACGCGTCAAAGACTGGGCCCACAGTGGATTACACAATTAATACATGGGTATAAAATATATTTACACATGTGTGTGTACCAAAAGGAGGTCGCTTGATTTTAATGTACTATTGTATCATACCAATGACATTTCGAATGTAACCAAGTCTTTAAATCATGTTTATTTTAATGTTATAAAATCTATTTTTTTATACAAAACCATGTATATTTGATGGACATATTGTATGGTTTGGACACTTTAAAAGCCCCGCTTTTCTCCTTGTATACATAACACTTTAAGTAGTCGTCCTTGTTCACACCTAAGTGATTTGTCACGGATTTCAAGACACGACCCCACTTAATAGCAATATTTCCATTGTATTCTATGAGGTCTGTTCACTTCTAAAGATGGCCATACACTGCTTTATTTTTTTGGTTCAACCCACAGGCTTTTGTATTCTGACAGCGGCCCCCTCCGACCGGCTCCTTTGATCAGCTGATCGGTTCATCAAGAACTGGCCAAAATTCGCAGAGTGTATGACCTACCTTTAGCATGCTGGGCTTGTTGTGCCAAAGAAGTACAGGCAGTTATTTGGCAGGATCACGCGTTTCTGGCCACACAGACTCAATGAGAACACTTACTAGTTTTGGAAAATGCCAAAGACATGGCAATGGACAAAGCCTCCTAGGTGCTATAAAGCTCTATCATCCTATTCTTTAAAAGTATGTTTTTCTCCAATTTTTTTAAGTTTCATTAGTACTCAAACAACTTATTTGATTACATTTGTTTTGTTACATACTGCGGATTTAAAAAAAATGCCAATCAGTAAAAAATTTAATCACATAATCATGAATTTTACCAGCAATATGATTTGGGTGTCTTAAAAAATGGGACCAGTCAAATAATAAAATGTGTTCTTTGTATACAGTAGAATTCGCTTTTAAAATAATCACTGGTCAATTATTTTCTATTGTAAATACTTCTTGCCTTTAAAATACATAGAAAATAAAATATTTTTCAGATGACATTACCACTAACAAATAATAACCCTATCACTTTGGTAGTTTGGTGTAAGTAATAACAAAGCTATTGCCTAATCAATAGGCAATAACTGAATAGGATGCACGTTTTTAATCAATGGCTAGACTTTTTGGGGCTTAAAGTGACATTAAAGGCAAAAAAAATGTTCCCTCCCCCCCATGTAAATGTTAGCACTTACCTTAAATGATGTCTCTTTTTCCGATCTTCCTCTTCTTTCCCCATGTTTTCATATGTCCCTCCAGCGGTGTGACGTCACTCCGATCCAGCGCTGACTGCCATGTCTCTCCGATCCAGCAGTGTCTGCAGGCGGGTGCACGCGTCCATAGACTTACCTTGCGTCTCTGCTCGTCTCCCGGCCGAGAATCGGAACTGCGCATGCGCCCGCCCCAAGATCCTTTGCGGCCGTACGAGCAGTTCCTGATTCTCGGCGCGGGAACGAGCGGCGATAACGAGGTAAGTTTAAAAGGATTTTAAGCGTTTTTTGTTTTTTTTTACACTTCTTGCCTATATCTACTGCATGCTAGCAGTAGATATAGGCAAAAAAACCGGAGGGTTTAGAACCCCTTTAATTATAAATGTTATTTGCCAGTTACACTTAAAGCCTAGCACCAGCCAATTCTCAGTCATTGAGAAAACCCTACGTGTCAGAAGGGGCATTGCTGGAATTGTAAAAGTACTAGGGAAACCATAGGGCATGATGTGTAAAGAATTTTTGCACATGGTGCTACACAGTGTGAGTGGCTTAAAGGAGCATGGTTAATGAGAATCTGAGACTATTTTCTATATATACTACACAAATTCGCTGCAGTCCTTGCACATTAAACGCAGGTCAGCAGATTACTATTTTCTTCAATGGTGTAGTGTAGATGACATTTGAGACTGCATTTGACCTGCTTTGTTTACCTTGTTTGTTTTTTTACATGCAGCAGCTCCTATTGATATGCATTTGCATTTAAGTAAAGCAGCTGCATTGGTTGCATTTTGCCTTTGGATTCATGCATTTATTATAGGACAATGTCTCCCCTAAAGGTGAGGTTGAAAAAAAATTGCTGCAGAAGAAGTACATTCATACTTCCCTGCCCTGTTGCCTGTACCTTGTTTTTTTTCTCTTTATACAGATACTGCTGGCGGCAGAATCCGCAGCATTAGACTCTTCTCTGGTTGAAACCAGTGATACTGCAGTGGGTAAGTGAAACCACAGCACTCAACCGGAAATATCGGATGCTGAGATATTTAGCAGATAGCACTAGCACCGCAAGATGTGCGAGTGGTATATTTTATTCGCACTAGAAAATAGAGAACATATCAAATGTTTAAACTGAGAAAATGGACCATTTTAAGAAAAAAAAAAAGATCATTTAGAAATTGATGGCAGTAACACGTCTCAGAAAAGTTGGGACAGGGCAACAAAAAGCTGGCAAAGTAAGTGGTACTAACAAGGAAAAGCTGGAAGAACATTTTTCAACTAATTAGGTTAATTGGTAACAAGCCAGTAAAATGATTGGGTATAAAAAGAGCATCTTAGAGAGTCAGAGTGTCTCAGAAGTAAAGATGGCCAGAGGTTTACCAATCTGTGAAAAGCTGTGCCCAAAAATTGTCGAAAAATTTCAGAATAATGTTCCTCAATGTAAAATTGCAAAGACTTGAAATATATCATCATCTACAGTACATAATATCATCAAAAGATTCAGAGAATCTGGAGAAATCTCTGTGCACAAGGGACAAGGCTGAAATGCAATATTGGATCCCCGTGAACTTCGGGCCCTCACATGGCACTGCATTAAAAACAGGCATGATTGTGTGATGGACATCACTGCATGGGCCCAGGAATACTTCCAAAAATCACTGTCTGTGAACAAGTCTGTGAATGCAAGTTAAAGCTCCATCATGCAAAGAAGAAGCCATATCTGAACATGATCCAGAAATGCCGCTGTCTTCTCTGGGCCAAAGCTCATTTAAAATGGTCTGTCACAAAGTGGAAAACTGTTCTGTGGTCAGACAAATCAAAATTTCACATTCTTTTTGGCAACCATGGGCACCACATCCTCCGGACTAAAGAGCTAAATTCAAAAGGTTTGTATCTCTGATGGTATGGGGGTACATTAGAGTGTATGGAATGGGCAGCTTGCACATCTGGAAAGGCACCATCAGTGCTGAAAGATATATCCAGGTTTTAGAGCCGCATATGCTCCCATGCAGATAACGTCTTTCTCAGGGAAGGCCTTCCATATTGCATCAGGACAATGCTAAACAGCATACTGCATATAAAACAACAGCATGGCTTCATAGTGGAAGAGTCTGTGTGTTTACCTGACCTGCCTGCAGTCCAGGCCGTTCACCAATTGAAAATATTTGGCGCATCTTGAAACGAAAAATATGACAAAGATGAACCAGGACTTTTGAGCAGTTAGAATCCTATATCAGGCAAGAATGGGAGAATATTCCTCTCCAAAACTTCACCAACTCGTCTCTTCAGTTCCCAGAGGAGTGTTAAAAGAAGAGAAGATGCTACACCGTGGTTAACATGGAAGTGTTGCTGCCATCAATTTCCAAATGACCTTATTTTTTCTTAAAATAGTACATTTTTCTGTATAAACATTGGATATTTTTTCTATACAGGTGAAACTCGAATAATTAGAATATCGTGCAAAGTTCATTTATTTCACTAATGCAACTTAAAAGGTGAAACTAATATATGAGATAGACTCCTTACATGCAAAGCAAGATAGTTCAAGCCGTGATTTGTCATCATTGTGATGATTATGGCTTACAGCTCATGAAAACCCCAAGAACCCCAAATCCACAACCTCAAAAAAGTAGATTATTACATGCAATCAATAAAACAAGGATTGTACATAGAACAATATCGGACCTCTGAAAAGTACAAGCATGCATATGTACTCAGTACTGGGTTTGGGCCCCTTTTGCAGCACTTACTGCAATTACTTTTGCATGATATTCTAATTATTCGAGTTTCACCTGTATTCTATTGTGAACAAAATCTGGATTTATGAGATTTGCAAATCATTGCATTTTGTTTTCATGTAGATTTTACACAGCGTCCCAACTTTTTGGGGATTGGGGTTGTATATATATAAATATAAACTGTGGGCACACCTCACTCTCCTGGCATCTGCACCTCATTATACATCTTCATCAGAGTGGCGCCCAGAGCAGAATGACACTTCTCTTCACTCCATGGTAAGCGCTGCTCTAAAGAAGGGGTCTGATGTGGACCCTTCATTCAGCAGGGATAACCACTAGGAGGAAGTGCTACAGAGCATGCCTGCTGAACATCTATACTGGCCATCACAGACCCAGGGCATTTGCCCCAGGTGCCAAGGTCTAGCAATACCTATCTGTTTCAGCTGTTCGTCTATTTTGTGCTGGCATCCCACACTCAGGGAAAGATGAGCTAAACTAAAAAGCTTTTCACAGCTTTGTAAGCCTGCTGTACAAATATTGAATTCTGGCAATCATCGTCCCTCCTGTGCTCAAAATAGGAACACTTTTGCTGTTAATATGATATGTGCAAGCACTTCTCAAGTAATGATTAGAGTCACTGCTGTGTTTAGACTGGTTGTATTAGATCACATGTCAACAATCTAAAAGAAACTCACAAATAAGACATTACCTCTGGAAGGCATATCATGAACTACAGGATCACTGTGTGACCTCTTACGCTGAGGCACATTAACTGGGTTATTTTCTGTAGATTGCTGTTCACTGCATGCTTCTGCAGGTATAATTTCTGTAGTGGAACAACAGGGAGATTCTGGAATTGCAAAAAGGTTCAGTTTATGTTAGCCTTCAGGGAAAGCCTTTCTTTTATCAATAATTTATCATCAGATATTTGAACTTTTCATTATCATCCATTTTAGAAACATACTTTTGTTTGAGTATCACAAGGTAGGAGGAAGCAGCAGTTGTTTGGAAGCTGACAACAAGGATTCACATCCAGCATTAGATGAGACTGTTCCAACAAAAAGGCATGGACTTGCAACTTTATAAAGACAGAGGAAGATTGCGAACACGAGAGAGGTGGGGACAGAGTGAAGTAAGGCAGAGATAAGAATAAGGACAGGAGGCATACATGAGGCAGCAGGGGAAAAACCAGGAGGGGCATGTGTAGAAAGGATAGAGAAGAGGTAGACACAAAACACAGCATGCATGCATGGCCACATACTCACCTGGACAATTATATCATAAACTTTATTTATTGTATTACCTATGTTCCACTCTGGCCAGTTGTGGACACAGGAGAATCCAAAGCACAGCGACAATGTCCACAGATCCCCCAGTATGGCAAGCAACGTTTGTGAACTTCTCATTAAAGCACCTTGTAGCCAACTCCAGGAAATAAAAGTAGAAGCAGCCTGCAAAAATTGATGAATACTCACCTATCTAGCAGCCGACAAGGAACAATACTGTGTCCTGTAGGGAGGTTGGGGTCGGCAGGAGAAACAATGCGCAGTGGAAGAAGGGCTATACAACACAACCAGAAGTATCAAAAGCAGTAGCACCCTGAGCTCTTAAAGAGTCAAAATTTCCCTCCATGACTGAAAATGAAGTATTTCTCTCGTTTTGCAGGCAACTTCCAGTTTTATGTGCTCGAGTTCGAGACAGAGTCACTTTAAACTCTGAGAAAATACTTCAGTGGTTGCCTTAAAGTTCTGGATTTGACTGACACCTGAGCCACTATCTATATGCAGTTTATACTTTCTCCCCATGTCTGTGAAGCTTTCCTCTCACAGTTCACAAACATGCTGTTAGGTTAATTGGCTTGCCTCTAGTATATGTATGACTGTGGAAGGACATTATATTGTAAGCTCCTTTGAGACACAAAGTCTGATGTGAATGGATCTAAAAACACTAAAGCACTGTGTGAAATGTTGGCGCTATATAAATATTGGACATAAATAAAAGATAAATTAAGCAGCTAAGAAAGCTAAGCTGTGCTGGAATAAGGGAACTAGGTTGATACAGTCATAATTGAAAAAGTGCAATATTTCATTGCCTTGTCTTGCTATATCAAATTTAAAGTGTATTGCCACTTATGCAGCCAAATTTGACAAAACCCCTCTATATGTTTATTATGTGTTCCTACTCACACAACATACTGAAAATTAAAAAAATATTTCTTACCTATTAGATTTTTCTTTGGTGAAGGCCTTTGTGCAGATGTGAAGCTACTCTGAGCAGTCTGAAAGTGAAACTAGAGGGACAAACTGAGGGACAGACCGAGCTTTCTCAAACTAACTTACAATGCTTCTAAGTCTTTAACCCTTTGTTAGGAAATGTAAGCAGCAATTTTGAAATATGTTTTAAGTTATGCAATGTGAATAAGAACATGTAACATATATAAAATATGTTATCACAATTTGACTGCAAAAGTGGACATTTGGAAAAGTGGACACTTTAAGGAAAGCAGTGTTTATTTTTTTAAAGCAGGACTACGGACAAAAATGTTGTTAATCCTTAAAGTGGGGCTACCCCCGCACTGCAAGGGTTAAGTGCTTGTTTTTGTCTAGGTGCTAAAAAAAAGTTATACTTACCCGAACCGCAGAGGCGACTGGCTGCTTCCATCCCTGAAGCCTGTCTCCTACTCCGCTAAAGAGATGTCATGTCACTCGACGCCCTCATATCCTATAGATTGTGAATAGAATGTGATAACTCAAGGATCCTTACACCGCTGGAGCAGAGGGGGAGCGAGGCTCCAGGGACTGGTCTAAGAGCGATCTGGCTCCAATGGTCAGGATGAATATAACTTTTTTTTTTTTTAGCACCTAGACAAAAATGAGAATTCAACCCTTGCACTCAGAGCCAAATTTACTTTCTCTGCTGCCCCAAGGCCAGGTTCCTCAATGCACCCCCTCCTCCCCCACACTTCCTCCCCAACGCCACAATTTTCTTCATTTACTAATGAATGTTAGAATAGATAAATAAAAAACATATTTCCATACAGAAGAACACTGAAAATTGTGAAGGTTTTTTAGGAATTCTTCATATATGATAAGCTTATTACCTCACAAATAAGCAAGGCAGTCAACGACTCAGCACACCTTCACGCTTCACACCTGGCTTTTAAACCGGTGTGAAACTATAGGCTGTACAGTAATTGCCTGGCAGCTATACTTGTGCTCAGCAACAAGCTGCTGGTTGTGAATTGGCTGGCGTCCGAATTTTTCCATAGAAACACGTAGCGGATTGGTGAGTGTCAAATTCAGGCTTTAACTCTGCATGGAAACATCAGGATGTTTTACATGCAGCGTTAAAGCCTTTAACCGTCACAGATTCCACTACATCTCTACCACCTCTGCGGTAATTAAATATCTTAATGAGAGGGGCTTACATCCGACAGTGCCGCCCCTCTACTCCTTGCTTTAACACTGCATGGAAACATCAGCATCTTTTACATGCAGCGTTAAAGCCTTTAATCACCACTGAGCTGCAGGCTGTGCCACCCCTCGGTGGCCTTGTGGGGAATCCGGCCCTGCTTGCACTACAGAGGTAGGCACACTGCAAGGATTAAGAACATTTTTGCCCAGAGTTCTGCTTTAAAGAGCAATAATAAATAACACTATTATAACATATCAAACACTTAGTTACCTGAAGAAGTTTGAACACTGGCCGGTTCCACTTCAGAGCTGGGGACAAGGTCTGGTTCATCAGTTTCCTGTGAATATGAATGAAACGGTTACAATATATTTCTCAGCGCAACACAAAACTCATACCAAAATTTGTGATACTGAACCTGGAAAACTGAGGCAAACATTATATTGCTGAGTAAGCAGCAAAATGTAGTAAAGCAGTAAAATATGTTCCTAATGGATCACTGTAAAGTTCTCAAATATGGTACTTTTTAAAGACTGCCATCTAAATTCAACCTTCCTGTAGTTTCTGTTTCAATCGTTTTTATTCTTTGTTGAAAGCAGAAAAACATTGCAATGCGGCACATTTCAAGTGAGATTACCATAGATCATATGATATTGTACAGCTGTTTAGATCTCTAAATATGACCTGTAAAATGATAAGCCATTGGAGTAACATTAATGGATAAAAGAGATCAGCAAATACCTCCTGTAAATGACATTGGCCAACCACAGATTCATAAGATGGAGGTGGTTCCATGGGACAAAACACTTCAACTCCTTTGAATCTGGATCCATAGATATGTGGTAGAGGAATCACCTCATTACCAGACATTCTGTAAAGAGGTCAAGCACAGTCAGACTATTGACAAGATCATTGTGTTCATTTATTTTCCTATAAAACATATTTGATAAACAATGGTACAACATTACACCATTTTTCAACAGGTAATATTTGAATGGATGTTTCTGTGTGCACCTATAGCTCTAGAGAAACCAATGTGCTGCCCTTTTAAATTCGTTTTTTTTGTTAGGTCATGCATTTGAAATCTAAACTCCAGGCACAAAACGGTTTCAAATATTGTATTACATTTTGCAAGAGGAATACAAATTGCAACATGCAATATAAAGATAGTGCAACATATAATCAAAAGTGGTAGTCAGCAATAAAATTGCATAGGAAATCCAAAAGGAAATTGAGAAAGTTAAGCTCTCAAATACAGCAGAGGAGAGAGAAGAGGAAATCAGAATAAAACAAGAAAGGAAAGGAGAGCAAAAGATCCAAAAGAGAAGAGAATGGCGCCTGGGTCCGCAGGTCCCTAGTAGATGAAAGACTCGGGGCCTAGAGGGACGATAAACTGACCGTTGTCAATCCATGGTTGCCAGACTTTTACAAATCTTTTATTAGAACCCAAAAGTATGCTTGTCAATTTCTCATTCACATAAAAGAAATCCACTCTCCGCTTGACCTCATTAAACGGCACAAATAGTTTTTTCCAAGCATTAGCGATAGCCTGCTTAGCTGCCAGCAGCACTTAAGTGGCCAAGCGGTGTTGATTTCTAGTAAGAAGCAAAGATTTGAGATGTAGGAGGGCCAACCAAGAGTCCTTGCGCAGAGTTACAGAAAATAAACTTTGCAGCAGGTGAAACACCACAGTACAAAATCTGGCAAGCATGGGACATGTCCACCAGGTGTGAAGGACGTCTCCCTTAGAGGCACAACCCTGGAAACAGGAGGCCGAGTGTGGAGGGTGGAGGTGGACTAACCTGAATGGTACCAGTACTTAAATGCAGTCTCCAATGAGGTCACATTGAGCGTGCCTCTGGCCATAGAGGTCCAAATTTGCTGCCAGACTTCTGGCGATTGTGATGTCCCAAGGTCTTTTTCCCATCTAGAGACATATGCGTGTGCTGAGGGGGACGATAATGAATTCAAATGGGAATAGGCCAGCGAGATCAATTTAGGGGTGGTAGGATTACGGCAACAGATGTGTTCAAACATGGTGAAGCCGGCACAAAAAGTTTCATTCAAATATATACCTTAATGGGCACTGTATGCCTTTGCGAACCCAGATATTACCTTGAGAAGTAAAAGTGACATCATCACTGTGTTGTACATAGACTGTGCAGAGAGTAGAGCTATAGGAGGGGCCCAGCAGCTCTGGGATAATAAGTTCTACTAACATGCTCTAATCTTCTTGAAGTGAAGTAGATGTAGCCCTCGGAAGGCATAATGCAGACCCGCAAAGATGAATTAAACTCAATTTTTCCCAGTGTTTCATTTAAATTTGACATGCCTTTGTTAGGTGGTAGCAAACCTGTTCAACCAAGTTAAGCTTCTAGAACCTCATAAGCCTTACATTTTTGTCAATAAGCTCCACTCCTCCTCCATGGCTGTACCCTATTCTAGCTAGCCAATGACATATAGGATGCTGGTTGCCATGGTAATCGAAGAAATTTGCACATATTTGTTATTTATGAATTTGAAACAGTATAATTCACCAGCCTGTTCAGGAACGACCGGTCCTCCAGATGGACACTCAACCATAAAGGCATGTTGATATTTGCATAACTCCTCCCAAGAACCAGCCCACTGCTTGCATCAGGGCTGAGGGATCTTGAGAGGAACACTGAGGCGGGCTGCTGTGATGTTTTTAGGAAGTTACTATATTTACAGCACCCTGCTGACCCCTCCCACATGCCACGATCTGCCTGCATTGCACAGAGAAGTACAAAGACCCAGAAATTATGTCATCACTGGGTCTAAAATAAGGTATGTAATGATAATGGATATGTTTAATTAGCATGTTGATGAAGAGGGGAGGGAGAAACCAAGGAAGGCAAAATATAAGCCGATTAAACTTCAGCTTTAAAAACTATAATATTTTTTCGATTATGCAGCGCCAACACAATAGTAAATAAGTGATAAATTGAACAAACACCATTCATTATATAATGTGAACATGTGTTATTCAGTGAAACAAAAACAAATAAATGTGAAACGGTGTCCACTTTTGAAAAAATTTGAAGAATTTCAATGAAATAAAATACAGAGTGAAAAAGTCCAACATGTGTTGTGTATTTCTTTTTTTCAAACACCGTGAATGGTAATAAGGACATGAATGGTTTATTGCTAGAAGTAAGATTTATCCCCTTATATCGGGGTTTATGCAATAGAAACAATGTAAAGGAGTCTGACCATCAATCCTAACATAATGCCCATAGATCATGGACCCAGAGATACAGTAGCTATTTAAAGATCTACAAATACACTCGTAGGACAAGATATACAAGAATAATGGTTAATTCACTGTTAACTATCACTTCCTTCATGTTACCGTCTTAAACATAATTTTATTATAAATGTATCTGCTTTTTAATTATCAACATCAATTTTAAATTCAATTTTCAAAGTGTTTAGAATTTAAATATTTTTAGAACATAAAGTTTTACAATAACTAAGTTTGAATTACAACATGAATTTTTACCTCTATCACTTATGTATTTTTATATGCCAATAAGATTATTGGCCTTTTATTTTTTAAGGTTTTATGTCTGTTAAATTTCATAATTATATTTGTGTTTTTGAACATTTAACATTTAATATTAATAGATCCACCACATAGGAATTTTATGTAACAGTATGTTAGTATGTTCCGATCGTAAGATACAAAGCTTTGAAGATCGGTTTACACTACACACTCTATCCTAATTAAATTAAACAATAGTGTAGTACTGGTAGTCAATTCACTGCCAATCAGCTAATTGACCACACTATATAGGGAAGGATCTGGTATGGCTAGTTAGACCTGCTAAACCCCTGAGGACGTCGATAAGACGAAACGCGTAGGGGCGGGCCTAACCTCACGCTACACCAGATACAGGATTTTGTAGTTTTGCCGATCGGAACATCTTTCTTTGGAATTTTTTGTTTTTTGCCTGTGGATTTCGTTGTTTTAGTTCTATTTTGATTCGAATAAAATCCTTTTGAAACTTCTACACTATGAGAGGTCTTTTTCTTGTATGATCCCGAAGATAAACCATTAACCGGTCCCAGACCATCGATAGTTGCAGCTGAGACGCCACAACTTCAGGAGAATTCATTTTGCTAAAAGCTCTACAGGCTGCTTACCACAGCCACTACATTGTGGTGAGTATATACCCTGAGGGGATTCACACGGCATTTGCCGGCATTCCCAAACAAACATCACAGAACTGTTTCCTGAATTTATAACCTGCTCTTGCTTGGAACACCTTATTACCATTCACGGTGTTTAAAAAAAAGAAATACACAACACTCGTTGGACTTTTTCACTCTGTATTTTATTTCATTGAAATTCTTCAAATTCTTTCAAAAGTGGACACAGTTTCACATTTATTTGTTTTTGTTTAACTGAATAACACATATTCACATTATATAATTAATGGTGTTTGTTCAATTTATCACTTATTTACTATTGTGTTGGCGCTGCATAATCAAAAAAATATTTATGCTTTGACCCGGGTGGTCTAGTTTTGCTGCAGCCTTCATTTTCAATAATTTATCATGATACACATTACAATGTATAGTCACTGATATTTGTTCACATTATTTTCTGTGTTGGCGCTGCATAATCGTAAATCTTTAAAAACTAGAATGCTGCATCTAAGGGGATGCCACATTCCTGCAGTGAAACACTCATCTGTAGTAGAAAGGCAAATATTTTTTACTGCTAATCATCTTTGAACTGTTTTTCTTTGGTCTCACTTTTATGTTTAAATAGGACTCTGCCAATAAGTATCCAGAAAGCAGAAGGAAAAGTATTCTTTGTCAGTAAAAGCAATTACAAATAATTAAATATTCAGACTACAAAAACATCTGCTCTGATCTTAATAGCAAGGAAAATTGAACTTTCTATACAGCAATCCTCTTATGATAATATTCCAGACAAATGAGTCTGTTCTCTAAACACTTTTCATCACTAGCACAGAAAACTCTACAGTGAAGATTTTCTAAGCCAATTTCACAAAAAGACATTTAACAAGCTGGGAGTATTATTGAAAAATCATGAGTTTGAATCTGAGTGTTTTCAATATTCAATACTGAATGATGAAATCATGATGGTAGCAAATCTATACTGTTACTTAACCCTTTTGTAACCAGCTGATGCCCAGGCCAAATTTTGCAGCGTCAGCATGTGTCAGTTAATTTAACTCTGACTAATTTAATGTAAATAATTAAAAAAAATGTTTGTAATTATTTTTAATGTATTGATTATTGTTTCTAATACTGCAACTGTATTTGACAGTTGAACTAATAAATGCACGGCACTGCAGATGAACATTGCTGCCAGGAGATAGAAGCATAATCTGCAGGCTGAAGGTTTTTATTTTTTATTAAGGAAGCCATCACCCTGCATGTGCTCAATATGTCAGAGCTGATAGTGATCAAATGATCAGGAACCACCATCCCGATTCTACACTTTTAGGTATGGACAGTACATACATCACTGTGACTAGGTGTCAGAAGGAGAAACCACAGCAGCCAGGGAAAGAAGCTGCTATTTTAGGAAACGGGGTGACAGGTCAACCTCCTTTTTTTTTTTACAAGGTATTGCCATTCTAATTTTGCTGGTCATTTTGAGGGGAAAAGGGTAAGAAAGAGTTACATAGGGCTTATTAGGATAAGGGTTTAAATAAGATCAATTTTTATTTAAGAAAACAAAAACAAAAATTGTGAGGATTCTTTACCTGACAATATGTACAGATCAAAGTATACTTTTTTTGACCTGCACATAAAGAAAGTAGTGCAAATATGTTGTAACCTTTAGATTGTAAGCTCTCATGGGCAGGGCCCTCCTCACCATCTTCTCTTGATTTTGTATTGTAACTATAATGTCTTCCTTACATTGTAAAGGGCTGCACAAACTGTTGGCGCTATACAAATCCTGTATAATATAATAGTAATTACAATGCAACACTGTTTGCAAGCATTATTTACGCAGGAGCTGCTGCAGTGGTTCCTGAGACACAACGTGGGTCCACAGACAGCTGAATATGACCTAGCACCGTTACTAAGGGTCACTGATTTTATTCTCTATCATGACAGGTATAAACCCATATAATTTACCTTGGAGTCATTCTAGGAGTGTATGAGTAGAATGTAGAAAAATATGAAGGTGGAGGTGCAGGTGGAACAAAATCGTCAGGGTCTGGCACCCTGTCTTGCTCTTCCACTTCCTCTGCAGACACCTGGGATTCATCCTAAGAAGAGGAATAAGTTGTTAACCCTAGAAAAGTGAACCAAAGATTTCCAGGCAATAAAAGCTGTTTAAGCAAGGGGGTTATTCACTAAACAGCCAAAGGATGTAGCCGAATGTTTGGCTAATCCTTTGGCTCGCTGCAGGATGCAGAAACCCTTCGGTTCGAACCAAAGGGCTGCTGTATGGGCTATTCACAATAACCCATACAGCAGCCACAGCACACAGCCAAGCCAAATGCATATGCTTACACTCAGCATAGCTTTGTTTTTAACCCTTTTTTATTTAATCCCCTCATGACAGCGGGCCCCCCCTAACATTCCTACCAGACCTAAAGGGTCTGGTATGATTTAGGAGGGGGACCCTGCGCTGTTTTATTTTTCTTCTTTTTACAGTTTCATTCTGTTCGCTACCTCTGAGGAAGTGAACAGAATGACTGAGCCGAATGCTGAGCTGACAGTTCGGCTATTCACTATGAGAATAGGGGTGAACAGCAGAGAGGGAACTGACGAACGTTGGCCTGGAATCTGCTCTTCAGTTTAGCCGAACGTGCTGAGGCTGTTCGACTGAACCGAAGGGAAGTGAAGCGGGCCGAATGCAGCCGATGTATGGCTAAAAATAGCTGTGCAGAGCTGCTGTGAATGGCCAAACAGGCTTCGGCTCACTTCACTTTGGCTCGGTATTTATTCGGCTGCCTTCAGTTGTTAATGTTAATTGGCTGGAATTCTGCCTTAATGGCTTTTTTTAAATAAATGAATGCACAGAAATGTTATATTTGTTGGGAAATCAGTTTTAAAAAATATAAGGGAATGAAGTGCTCAAGTAAAGTTTTCTAAATATAAAAAGATGAATATAAACACAACTTTACTAGTGCGAAATATTAAAAGAACACAGAAAAAAGCAATCCTGCTTGAAGGTTTACCCATTTGATTGGAAATGTCCTCATACTTCATAACAGTAGAGATTACTTGATTGCTAAGTATGACAACTATGCACCTGTATTTTCATAATGGAAAGTCAGCCATGGCAGCCTCCATATTTCTCTCAATTAAGTTTTCCTTTAAAATATAATTCCATTTTTGTAGGGAAAAAACAGTCCCATCTGGGTGTTCATTGCAGGGATTTTAACAAACTTTGTGACAGATTCCCAACTCTTTCTGCTCTGAAGACATTGCTGTTTGCTTTACTATGTCCTTTCCAGACTGATTTGTGAATGGAGGGGGGGCATCATTATAATCGTGTGGTACATCACAAGTGTTCTAATGAGGAAAGTTGTGTCTTCTTCATCCTTTTAGCCTTTGGGAGTATCTAATTTTTACTTGCATCTCAGTGCAGACTTCTGGGAAATTCAGTCACCCAATCCCAAAAAAGGAAATGCCGTTTCTGGCGGCAGGTGTACAGAACGTCTCCAGGTTGCCATATTTCATTCAATGTTTTAGAAAATCAAAGCGTCTGCAGATTGAAATGGAAAGGTAATTTTTTAATACCTAATTAGAAAATGGCTTGTGCAGCAATTTTAGATGCTGTAACAACTTTTGGACGAAAGTGGAGTCTTCCCTTTGAGGCCCATTGACACCTTTCCACATGTATTGGTGTAGGTGTGAATGGATCCATATAGTTTACAGTGTAAACACACTAAACTGTAGTAGATAGATGTGAACCTGCCACAAAGGAAATAATGAGAGTTCTACTTGAAATTTATGTTTTTTTTACTGAAGGAAAACAGACAGTTGTGGCTAGTTGTTGACTGAGCAGCACACTAAGGCTCAAGCTAGATTTACTCACCTTGCTCTAGGGGGTTAATTGCCATGTATGGTATTTAAAGGAACAGGTCTATACACTCTTGCTGTATTAATTTAATTTTAGTAATTTTAAATAACCTGAGCACTACTCTGGATTTATTCCATTGCCCTTCCTTTCTTCCAGCCATATAAGAGGATTTATTATATGTTAGTAAGCATTTCACTCACTTACTGTGCAGGGTCTTCTAGTGGTGAGGAGCTGTAGGTATCGCAGGGCAGCCGCTACCAGGCACACTGTGGTTGTCAGAGCGTTCAAGGCGCAAAGAGCAAAGAACACTTTCTAGAGGAAGAAAAACAGAATGATATTTAGCTATTATTAGCTGTGACCTACAGACAAGATGTGCCTTCCTGTCCTGAAATGTCCCTAGCAGTGCGTTGGCCCCAGATCCAATCACTGGGCTTGTTCACCCCAATGTACTGTAACTGCGATATAACATGCATTCATAACGCACCCGAAACTGCAGGGAAAATAGTTTCCATTATAATCTATGAAGCGCTTCCCATTAGTGTGTTGTTTTTTTTAATCCCGCTTGCTGCATCTTTCACATGCTTCTTTAAAAACATGTGTTACATTTTAGTCATTGATTCACCTTGTGTGGTGGCCAGGCTAGATATGACCCCCCCCGCCCTTTCCCCAGAAAAAAACAAGCAATTAGCTGCACTGCTTGTGTCAAACAAACAGTATATAATATATTTAACAAATTAACACAGCAATATATAAAAGACATCACACCCTAAACCAGGTGTCTCAAAAGTACTAATACCATTCGGCCCGCAACCGGCTGTCAAGTCAGATACGCCGTACTTGACTTGTGGGAACTACTACACGGTCTGCATCTCTGTCAGATGCAGACCGCATGGCTGCTCCTGTCAGCTCCGGCACTCACAAATTCCTTTTGGCCAGAGCCGAACATACCGACATTACTTACAGAAATCCTGACAATACACACAAAGCATCACAAAAAAATATACTGACATTGCATACAAAGAAACCTTCACAAACACATATACTGACATAAACACACGCAGATATTAACACTGGTACCGTATATAGGTACATTTTATTTTGAAGAATTACATTTGGCAAGCGGCCCCCATGGGAGAAAAAAATGGGTCCAGTGGCCCCCGAGTGAATTGAGTTTGAGACCCCTGCCCTAAACCTTAAAACAATTTTAAAAATTTAATTTAGCTCATCAAGGAGCCCTCTGATATGTAAAAAACAGTCAAAGAGGGTGTATAAACCAACAAGCCCATGTAAAAAATACAGATTTTATAGTTTTAATAAGAATATAACCTAATTTGCACTTAAAACCCATAGAAGGTGCTCAGCAAGCCCACCTATCTGAGAAAAGCTGGGTTCTATAATTATATAACACAAAATATACGAAAAATACCATAATAATAATACCAGCAATGTCCACAAACATACCAAGCATTACTAGGAACATCCTAGCCAATATAGTGCAAACCAACATAAGTGTAATAAGTGCTGACATTACCGAAGAGGAATCTGGAAGAAAAAAAGATTGACAAACTAGTTAGATACTGGGAATCCATCCCCATAGCTATTCTTTGGATATCCTTCATGCCTTAGTGCAGCATTACATGGTGATGAGTTCCTCAGAATCTAACTATTTAGATACACCTCTTCATTGCTTGTATTATAAAATATCATTCCATTTACTTTATGGGTTTTCTACAAACAGTGCAAACAGGTAAATATAAAGTTAAACAAAAGCTTATCCAATCTGGTAAACATTATTTAACAAGGAGATTTGCTAAATTATCATCTGTAAAATGGAAGGCAGGTAGATTAATGCTGGAAACTGAAGAATGGCTACAGAGCGTTGTTTTACAGCCCTTCAACCTTTATTAGACTTTGAAGTGTGCAGTGTCAGCATAGCCGATTGGTAAATGAAGACGACTACAGAATTCCTGGAACATTACAGAACAATTCAGCCTCTTTGTCTTATATTACTGGAAGGTCACCCTGTCCCTGACAATGCTAATGTATGCTACAACAAGACACAGAACTCTTTGCCAGAAATCCTGAAACAATGACACCATGTCAGTGACTTACAACTTCAAGATAACCCTCTATATCTGAGGCTACAACATTCACATGAAAGAAACTGAACAAAAGTGTATAACTATTGTATCAAACACTGATCACAAGATAATTTTCTCTCTCTCTCTCTCTCTCTCTCTCTCTATATATATATATATAGAATCACTATAGTGCCAAAAGTATTGGGACGCCTGACATGCACATGAACTTTGATGAGATCCCAGTCCCTAGGGTTCAATATTGAGTTGGCCCACCCTTTTCTGCTATAACAGCTTCTGGGAAGGCTGTCCACAAGGTTTGGGAGTGTCTCTATGGGAATGTTTGACCATTCGTCCAGAAGCACATTTGTGAGTTCAGGTACTGATGTTGGACGAGAAGGTCTGGCTCGCAGTCTCCGCTCTAATTCATCCCAAAGGTGTTCTATCGGGTTGAGGTCAGTACTCTGTGCAGGCCAGTCAAGTTCCTCTACCCCAAACTCGCTCATCCATGTCTTTATGGACCTTGCTTTGTGCACTGGTGCGCAGTCATGTTGGAACAGGAAGGGGCCATCCCCACAAAGTTGGGAGCATGAAATTGTCCAAAATGTCTTGGTATGCCTCAAGAATTCCCTTCACTGGAACTTAGGGGCCAAGCCCAACCCCTGAAAAGCAACCCCACACCATAATCCCCCCTCCACCAAACTTTACACTTGGCACAATGCAGTCAGGCAAGTACCGTTCTCCTGGCAACCGCCAAACCCAGACACGTCCATCGGATTGCCAGACAGAGAAGCGTGACTCATCACTCCAGAGAACACGTCTCCCCTTCTCTAGAGTCCAGTGGCGGCGTGCTTTACACCACTGCATCCGGCGCTTTGCATTGCACTTGGTGATGTAAGGCTTGGATGCAGCTGCTCGGCCATGGAAACCCATTCCATTAAGCTTTCTATGCGCTGTTGTGTCAATCTGAAGGCCACACGAAGTTTGGAGGTCTGTAGCTATTGACTCTGCAGACAGTTGGCTACTTCTGCACACTGTGCGCTTCAGCATGCGCTGATCCCACTCTGTAATTTTACGTGCTGAGTTGCTGTTGTTCCCAGTTGCTTCCACTTTGTTATAATACCACTAACAGTTGACCGTGGAATATTTAGTAGCAAGGAAATTTCACGGATGGACTTATTGCACAGGTGGCAACCTATCACGGTACCACGCTTGAATTCACTGAGCTCCTGAGAGTGACCCATTCTTTCTCAAATGTTTGTAAAAGCTGTCTGCATGCCTAGGTGCTTGATTTTATACACCTGTGGCCATGGAGGTGATTGGAACACCTGAATCCAATGATTTGGAGGAGTGTCCTAATACTTTTGGCAATATAGTGCATATATATATCTATATAGATCTATATATAGATCTATATAGATATATATAGCCCATGGCAACCTATCAGCGTCTATGGTTAAGCTTTGAATACATTTCCCTCACAAACTTTTCTCTGGTAAACATAATCTTTTCAAACTAACAGCAGTTATAGAAAGTGAAACACTGGATAGTGGCCTAAAGAGGTACCCTTAAACGAAGGGTAGATAATAAGCCATGACCAACTACTGTAGTGTTTGTTTCCTTTATAGATATGTTGTTATGTTTTAGAAAATGGTGTTAAATCTTGTGACTTGGCACCTTTAAAGCCCCGGATAAATAGGAATTGTATCATCTGTAGAACATTTACTGTTGGCAGGAAAAGTGATTTATGGAAGATATATTATTCTATGTATTCTTAGATATATGATCTAAGGTAATGTCAGCAGAGATCTGGAGGTAAAGAAAGATACCTCTTTACCCTGTCTTGGTAAAACACGTTCTGGGGCTGGTTTTACTAGTAGTCCAATAGAGCTCTGGGTGGGACAGACTCCTAATTCCGTGGACCGTAATTTCATTATTGTCCAGCTGGACCCAGCTGGGGAGTGTGTGTCTCAGTGGAAAGAGAGACAGTGTGCTGAAAGCAGCAAGTGTTTGTGTTTGGAACCAAGCCTGCCAGCAGGACAGGAATCTGTGGATGGACTGTAGCTGTTCCCATAGAGGAAACGGACCCAGCTCAAAGGACTATCCCAAATACTCAGTAAGGCTCAGTGGAGCAGAACTTTATTTTGTGTTTGACAATTTCTTTTGGCGGGATGCCTGTAACCTTTTTGTTTATTGCTGTCCGAAATAAAAGCTGCCAATTTTGTTGAAGAGACTGAGTTTGCCTGTGCCTTAAAACTTGCTTAGTTCCCTACAGTGGTTACACTGATTTCCACTGCCTGTTTTCTAAACCAGTTTTAAAAAAACCTAAAACTCTTACTAATATCTGTTTATATATCATTTATTTTTTGTAAAAACAGTAAACTGTGATGCTGAATTTGCTATAAATAACAGATGTACCCCTAAACTAATAGGAAGTACTCCCTGGGTACAAACCGCTGGTTAAGAATTAGGCACAATTCACACCAGATGATGAGCTAATCGCACAGTGCCGATGCACTGATCCCGGAGCATTGCACTGTGTAGTTTTGTTTGTTAGAACTTTATTGAAATTAGGGATGCACCGATACTAGTATTGGTATCGGTGCTCCAGATACTTATCCCGATAACGAAACTTCCAGGATCAGGAAGCCGGGTGGCGAGTCATTACGTGCCAGCCGTCTTCCTGATTGGCTGGGAAGCCGGCTCCATGCTCCCTTGTCACCAGGGAGCTGGCTTCCCAGCCAATAAGGAAGTCGGGGGGTGGGTAATGACTCGCCCCCCCCGGCTTCCTGATTGGCCGGAAAGCTGGCTTCCTGCTCCCTCATGCCTTGGTGACTAGGGAGTATGGAGCCAGCTTCTTGGCCAATCAAGAAGCCGAGCGCGCGAGTCATTACCCGCTCCCCGACTTCCTGATTGCCCAGAAAGCCAGCTCTATTCTTTCTCGTCACCTGGTCACCTCGACTTTCAGTATCGTTATTCGGTATTGGTGAGAACCGAAAAAAATATCGGTACTCGATACCGAAAGATCGGTATCGGTGCATCCCTAAATGAAATGTCACAAGTGACATTTCATTCAGTTCTACGGGCACAGCAACCTGGTTGTACCTTGCCTTACTTACCTATGCATGCCTTATTTTTTTTCAGCACACACCACAGCGTTCCTACTGCAATGCGGAGGTGTGAATGGGCCCCATCCGTGACAAGGCTAATTGCCTTGTCTTGTATTGGGGCTGTGCAGGAAACAACGGTCATTGCAGCCCCAACGCAGATGGTGTTAATAGGCCCTTAGTAAGCTAGATAAAATATATGGACTATGTTACAATACTTCTTATTACCATGGGTTTCAAAAGACCTAATTATTATATAGATTAGTGATGCACTGATACCAATACTAGTATCGTTGCTGATACAGAGCATCTGCACGAGTACTGATACTCGTGCAAATGCTCTGATCTCAAAACTGATACTGGCACTTTAATTAATAAGTACTGCGCTGGCTGGGGAGTTTGCGGCAACCTTCTTGGGAAAAACACAGTGCTTCTGCTTACAGTGCTTCCATCGGCGCACACATCTCCCCCTCCTGAGCTCCTCCGCAGATCTACCCTTCCTGAGACCCTCCACACATCTCCCCTTCCTGAGCTCCTCCGCAGATCTCCCCTTCCTGAGAAACTCCACACATCTACCCTTCCTGAGACCCTCCACCCAGAGACATCAGGATGGCACCCAGGAGCAGAGCGGCAGCACAGAGTGCCCTGCAGGTTTGGTGCAGCAAAATGGCACCTGAACTCCAGAGCTACTTTAGAAATATTGTCTGCTGTTTCTGTTCTGTGCTTTATTCTGCATTGCTGTATAATGTATTGCTGGGATTTGCAGTCCTCTATAGCTGATGGTATTATTCTGCATAGCTGTATAATGTCTTACTGGGATCTGTAGTCCTCTATAGCTGATGGTATTATTCAGCATTGCTGTATAATGTATTGCTGGGACTCCAGGCAAACAAAATCTTAACGCTTGCCGTTGGGTTACCCCCATACTACAAAGATTAAATACCCATTTTGCCTAGTGAGTTAAAGTGTTCATAGGGTGTGAGGACGCCGAGGGACATTCCATCACTGGAGTAGAGGGGGCAAGTATATGTCTGTCATTTTAGCATCGCTGCAAGGGTTAAGATTTTATTTGCCTGGATTTCATCTTTAAGGATTTCTAAACCCCCCAAAAATATAATATATTGCAGCTCACCAGTCCTTTGCTGTTGTGGCTGCATTAGTTTAAATTTTTTCATTCTTTTTTCCTTTTTATTTTTACATGGGAATCCTGCAAATAACACATTTCCTGGGTCTTTGTGGCTACGCTTATTTCACCATTGTATGTATGGAAGGGGCCATGGTTGTCACACAGGCTGGGCTTGAAACGTATATGCCTTTGCTCTTCCATCCCCATTACACAGGCTGGACTTGAAACATATCTGCGTTTGCTGATCCCCATATCTGCCTTTGCTCATCCACATTACAAGGTGGACTGATGGGACTAGTAGGTTTTACAAGAAACATATGCATGTTTGTGTTGTCTTTTCAGCTCCCAGTAAGTGACAAGGACACTACATTTCTGGCAAGATCAACAAGAATTTTCTGTACTTGCTGAAACTGTTCTTAAAAATTAGAACTGATTCCAGCCACCACATCTAAGGACTGGTAAGCTGCAATACATTACATTTTTGTTTTTGGGTTAAGATATGCTTTAACCTCCCTGTCGGTAATCCCGAGTGTGACTCAGGATTAATTTTCATTACCAAAAGCGGTAACCCCTAGCCACACTCGGGATTACACAGCGCGTTACTTACATTATCCACGATCCCCACTGTGTCCTCCGGCTGATGCCGGCATCAGTCTTCCGGGTTCTGTCCCTTGCAAGCGTCCACGTCGCAGGGGGGGGCAGAACCGGTGGGAAATTTGAAAGTAAAAAAACTAAAAAAAAAAAAAAAAATAGAAACAAAAAAGGAAAAAAAAATTAAATAATCAGACCGCCAGGGAGGTTAATGTAAGATTAATTAAAAGCAACTCGCTGTAAAATTTGGAGGGTTGTATAATAGGATTTGTAGTACTCGCTGTAAAATACTTTTCTTGGAGTCCATTGAGGAACAGATATTCTTTAACTTATGACTTATACTGCCGCCTACAGGAGGATTGGACACTGGCAAAAGAAAACTGCAGGCCAGCCCAGGATATCCACTCTCACTACCAGCATGCCTCAGTGTTGTAGAAATGCAGTACTGAAAGCATTATCATAAACACAGTGGAGGAGGGAGAGGTGGAAACTGTGTCCCTCAATGGACTCCAAGAAAATAGTTTTATGGTGAGTACAAAAATCCTATTTTCTTTACCATACAGCGACACACAGAAGGTTTTGAACCTTCGTGACTTCTAAGAGCAGTCCAAGCAAAGAACTGGGGACTGCCTGCAGATACATATAATGAGCCACCTGAAGGACCTTACAACTGAAGTTGGCATCGGATGAGGCCACAACATCCACCTTGTAGAACTTAGAGAATGTGTCAAAAGAACACCGGGTGGCAGCCATGCAAATCTAGAAAGCAGTTCCTTGATGTTGGAAAAGCCCAAGAAGTACTTGTAGACTAAATAGTGTAATGTACAATCATAGAGCTTGCGGGACGTAGCCTTTCTAGCTTTTAGCATCATAGGAATCACAGGTTCAGAGATGCCCTGTTTTCCCAAAACCTGGGCTTCAGATGAGGAAGACGTTTCAGGGGAGGATAGACATAGATTTGGGTGTACTGATCCCATAGAGCAAACAGAGCATTCCCTGCTTCTGCTAGAAGATCTGTGTTCCTGAGGACAAATCTGTTCTCACCTGCGACACAGGTCCTGGAACGCCTGGAGTAGGGACCACTCCCTGGGTCCAGGTTCTGAGGGGTTTGGAAGTCTGCCTATTGTTTACACCTGGTATGCACACAGTGGACAAGGCTGGAACATGAAGTTCTGCCCAGGATAGGATCTAATCAACCTATCGTGCCGCCGCAAGATTTCTGGTTTAGGATAAGAGGAAAGGCCTTGGGTACTCACAAAACCAGACAGCTGGTAGCAGGTGAGGGCTGGATGACCGGAGGTGACCAAAGTCACAGGCAGGCAGCAGGAATGGATCAAAGATTGGAGTTCCATGTGGGCTTTTGTACGCAGGAGCAGGGAAATGCTTTCATAACAAATTATTGTGGGAAAGAGAGCATGCTCCACCCAGTGGATGTCATCAGTGCTCAGTCCCACAGTATTAACCCCTTCAGAGTTGTAAACTGGCAGGATACAGGGAATTGAAAAGGTGTCCGTCCAGCGACCTTTGTAATTGAGGTAGTATCTGGTGCTCTGAACCAACCTACTCACAAAGTGACTCTTCAGAGACAAGGCAAGCGCTGAGTCTCCCTTTCTTTACAGTATCTATAGTAAAACTGACACTATAACTGGTGTGATACATTTTATATTAAATGCACACAATATACCTTTGATTGCATCTGCCTGTTAGTGATACCTTTAATAAGAGATGAACTGCATTACAGGAATGGATCATGACAAGCTTCAGAACATTTCCATTCTCAGGACACTTGTTAAGTTGAAATTCTTCACAGCAAACACACATTCTTCCTTCCGCCAGTCCTACCTGTTAAGACAAAAATGTAAGTCAAAGACTTTCTTAAATGTGAACTCAATCTACACATTGCTACAGAATGCTGGAGAAAGCATAAGGTCATTTTTGTGTTAAGGACAATATATGTAAATCCACATATCTTCTGCAGTATTCCTATTAAATAGATTTCCCAGGGTAAAGTCAATTTGACTTCCTGCTTTTAATCTCTCTGTGTAGTAATACACTTGAATAAATACATGATATCATATTTAATATTTGATAAAGTTACAGTCTCATTGTTAATGCAGAGAACACAATTCTCCACTGAAATATTGTATATTCCTATTAAAAAGAAACTTGGAATTTTCAACAAAAGAAAAAATGAATGATTCATACAATTCTGAATTTCTAGAAAATAACTACATATTAAGAACTGCATATAATAAAATGCATAGATGGTATTTTGTTTCTATCAATGTTATAGTTATTGATTCTCGTTGAAATTCTCTAATGTCAACTCTCTGTTGACATAAGAGAGATGGTTTTCTTGTTGTTGATTCTCCCACCCAATGTTTACTATTTGTTATTTCTGTATTTTTTTTTAAATCTGAATAAAAACAAAATTCACAATATATAAAGCATTTAAACATTTTATTAAAAACAGAACAGGCAAACATTATTTCTTTATTCAAACAGTGTCAACAGATAAAAGGTGATATATTTGAATAAAATTGATATGGTGTATCCATTCTCATAATCTAAATTAATGGAAAAGCAGATTTGTCACATGGAAAAAGAAAGTACACCCTTACATTTACCATCACTTTAAATCTTAGAAATTAGGATTCGCTGTTCCAGATTGGGTGCCAATAATTAGAACTTCTTAGGGATTATGCAAGTAGAACCAGTTTTGTTTAACTCTCAGAAATCTGGGGTTGTCACTGAATACAAATCAGATCCAGAGGTTTTATATCAATTGTGCTAACTCCTATAACAAAGTTTCACCATCGGATTTACAAATATGCATCATTGAGTGTGTGGATTCCACTCAACTGGATATTTGGTCACTGGAGCTGGCTGTCTGTCATGTTTACATATGTTCTTGACCTACATGGATGGTGATAAGTAGCTATTTATCTATTATATCTATTATCTATTATAAAAATTTACATAAGGGATGCATCCTTGGCCAGGTTGTTTATTTTATATATGGGGATTTTATAGGGTTGGAATTGGAGGTGGAGGTAGTTTTATGTCAGTTGATATAAGCACATGAATGCTTTTGGGTATTTTTGGTGGAAGAGTCTGCCAGGCTCCGGCCAAATGTAAACAGTTGGGTGGAGCTAGCGGTGACATCACTGCTAGCTCTCCCCAATCGTTTATATTTTGCCGGCATCTGACATATTCTTCATTCTGCGTCGGGAGTTCATCGCGTGTGGTCAGGTCGGCAGGCATCATTTTTTTTAATAGATTCTTGATTCTTTATTTTATTTCGCAGTGTCGTTGTTGTTGTGGACACCGCTGGACGTCATAATTGACCTTAGGATTATGTTGGTGGATCATTTTTTTTTTTTTTTTTTAAATTAAAGGATTTTTTTAAAGTCTGGACTTTTTATTTTCTATTTAACCCTTTAGTGAATGGGTAGGGGTACAAGTACCCCTTTCTCATTCACACGGGGAGGGTCATCTGGGTGCCCCTTTATTAAAGGAGTACCCTGGTGTGAATAAGTCCCCCTGCCTGCACCCCCAGGGGCGACCCTGGAAAAGCACCCTCCCAGTGCTGAGGGCATGTGGCCTGGTGTGGCAAGGAGGGGGGAGGCACTCGCTCGCCCCCCCCCCTTTCCCGTCAGGCCTGTGCTCGTATGGCAAGGAGGGGGTAGGCACTCGCTCGTCCACCCCTTTCCTGTCAGGCCTGTGCTCAGATCAAGGGTCTGGTGGGAAATTTTAGGGGGGACCCCAAACTTTTTTTCCCCTAATTTTTTGGGGTGGGGTACCTCCTAAAATTCCTACCAGACCTTAAAGGTCTTTAACATTTTTTTATTATTTTCTTAACTTTTTTTTCTTCTTTTTTTAACTTTTATTTAAATAATTTTCAACTTTTTTTTTCTTTCATTTGTTTACATTTTTTCTATTCTGCTCACTACCTTGGAGCATTTGGCTATTTACTCACTGCCGTTCAGCCCCTATGGAGATGTTTGATCGGCTGAGTCGAACGGCTTCTGCAGTTCGGTTCTGCATGTTCGACTGACCGACGGCAGCCGATGTACGGCTGACATCAGCTGTACTGAGCTGAAGTGAATAGCCAAATGACGTTCGGCTCAATTCACTTCGGCAGCTTTATGAATAACCCCCCTGGAAACTGAAGGAAATTTCCATCAAAACATTTCTACGTACAAGATGTTATTTCTGCTAAAGAGGGCAATACCAGCCCTGAGGCCAAGGGCGTACTCACTTTTTCCACATCAAATAATTGTAACTATTGACATTTTACTTGTTTTTATTCAAGTATATCACCGTTATCTGTAAGCATTGTTTGAATGAAAAATTCATGTTTGCCTATTCAGATATATGTTCAAAAAGTCAACAACTTCCAAGGGGTGTATTTACCTTTTCACACAACCGTATAATTTATATATCTCAATGACCATTGCCTAGAAAACAAGCTTGCCCCTGACCACTTCACCCACTTGATTTTTATCATAAAAACCGCCCTAAAAGTCCTCCCAAATTTTTCTCACTCGTTTTTTCAGAGATGAGTACGTTTTGTGGCAAATATATTTGGGACAGATGAGGAATTTTCTCAACTGAAAAGGCACCCATTTCCACCCCAAATTAGGAGAAAGGTGTCAGGGAGAATGTGTCAAAGGCAAGCAGGTAGGGTACAGGAATTCAGAGAATACCAATAAATGGACCTTTGCTGTCCATCATTTTATCTTGTCAAAGCAGCAAATTATAATGTGGTAGTTTAAGCACGTTTTTGTTGTTTAGGAACAACATGGTGTGAACTGGAGTTCTCCTTTAAATGGACGAGGAAATAATACATTAATGCACTTGATCTATTCTTCCTGTAAGTAAAGTGCTCATTACAATGCAAGTCAGCTAATGGATAGCAGGAGATGACGGTCCGCTTTTGCCCAACTGGAAATACAATCACAATACTGTATAACATGTCTTCACAGGATGCTGGTAAGCCTGACATTTACATTATGAGTGCTTGTGTATGGAAACCATGTACAGTTCACATTGTTAATTGTTCATTTTTATTGATGCTTTTAAAGCTACAATAACTGCTACAATAATGACAACATATGTTTTTAACATACACATTTTATTTGTTGAAAAAACAATCTTGCCTAAGGGCAGGTTTACACCATTTCCTGGACTAGATCTGGAAAGCAGTGCATTGCATTTTGCTGCAATTTTGCCGCGTTTGGATTTTTAAAAATTAATAATTTTTTTTAAGCTTAAAGCGGTTTTACAGGTGCGTTCCAGTCCGTTTGTATGCATTCCAGACCAGACAAAATTTCTTATTTTTTTTTTTTTTTATGTACAACAATCCACACTTATATATGTACAACAGTCTACGTGTATTCATGTACAAAAATATGGTGATCAGGGCAATCAGGGGTGCCATAGCTTTCCAAGAGCAATTTGCTAACCAATCACTGGCCAGAATGAACAAAGCGCACTTTCACTATCGATTCCTAGTGCATTTGGAATCACTCCGCCTGTGACAGGAGCCGGCACTATAGAGGAGCCATCAGCTTATGCGGCTCTGCTCCCTCCGGTGCCGCCTAGCTTCTAGTGCTGGCTTCGTTGGCACCGCTGTTTCTCTCCCGCAGCTCTTCAAGTTCCCCCTTATGCCACCACCGGCCCTGGGAATGGTCACAACTAGGTCTTATATTCGGGGTAGGTCTTATATTTTAGCAATTCCAAAAAATAGTACTACCGTATTTGCCGGCGTATAAGACGGGTTTTTAAACCTTAAAACATCCCCCAAAAATCGGGGGTCGTCTTATACGCCGGATACATACAGACGGATATGGTATACTGTATGTAGCTTCGGCTACATACAGTATACCGCGCTGAGCCAATCACGGCAGGCTTTGTATTAATGAATACAAAGCCTGTATGCATTAATACAAAGCCTGCTGTGATTGACTTTTTTTTTTTGTCCTCGCTCAGGACACCTTACTAACAGTTTTTTTTTTATATATATATTTTTGTGATAATACATGGTTCTATGTACCCACCACAGGTTCAGCCTCTTCTCCCGTGTGGTGGATGTCCCTGTATGTGGTAAATCCACAGGATGGGACATGCCTTGTGCCAGGCTAGGATGCCGGAGGTAACTTAAAAGGTTACAGGCGGATGGGCTGGTAAGTTGGACTCATGGGGCCGAAGCTTCTTACCGGAGGATCGACTGCTAGGTATGCGCTCCAGGGTGGTGCGCACTCCTGGGTGGCTGAGACGCTATGGCGGTAATAAGCCGCGGCCGCGAGTGTAGTTGCGGTCCAGCGTGGAGCGCACGCCGGAAGCCGCGGTGCGTCTCCATTCAGATAGATGAAGGCATTTAAGCCAGTATAGTTTAAATACAGCGGTTCCTGGAGGTACGATCGCTGCTAATCGGTGCCAGGGGTCGGTGTAGGACTGTCCACACTGAATAACACTGTCTGTAACCAGGTAGGTCCTCCTATGGGGGTATCTTTTTCTTAAAGTTTTTTTTTTTTCTCTGTTTTGGTGCTGTGCAGACCAGAGTGTTTATAGGTAATTGTGATTTCCCTAGTGACCCACCATGAGTCCGGGGGTAGCCCAACTAGACAGGCACGAAGTTCATCATAGATGTATGGCCATTTTGTTATGTTTTTTTTTTTCACATATGGTCAAAAGAGTGCTGACATGTCATGGTTGTCTCGTTTCAGGGGGAAGAGCCCTAGGTATAGGAAACATAAAAATAAATCACGCTCCCACAGGACGTCTCCTGCTTCTGAGGCTAGGCCAGACAGAGTTTCTTCTCATGGGTCTCCTCAGCT